TCATTAGCGTTTTCAAATTTTTTTTATGGCAGCTGCAAACAAATTTTAAGTTGATAATGTTAAACAAGACATGAACAAAGTGTAATCAAAAATTATCAAACTTATTAATTCAACTAAATATGAAGATAAATAATTAAATAAATTACCTAGAACCACCTTGCACCTTGTAAGAGGCAAAAATGATTTCTTTATTTCCTGCCATACATAGAGTATAACAAGCATACTTTTTTAGCCATTAGTTGTTTTAAGATAGCCATGGTAAGTTGCTTGTAATCGTCGCCTCTAACCGATGCAAGGAAGTTCATCTAAAACAAAAAAAAATCGAGTTTGTTTACAAAAATATATAATTGGTTGTAATAAAAGTTTAATGGTTCCATAAATGTGTGTATTTCGAACAGGTTTCCATAATGTTACAACTTCATTATCTATGATGAGATATTCAAATATGACATGGAGAAAAAGCCATTTGTTACAAATAGATGCAATCTCTGAGGTCAACCTGTTTTGGTGATCAAGACTTATTGTCATAAATGTTTTATTAAGTGATAAAAACACTAGGAAGAATACCACACAAAATTTCATACAGGTTTATGAGCTTCTCATACCCCTACCAATAATTACACAATATATTGTGTAAAAAATCTGATACTATAGTATCAGATTTTTCATTCACTAGCATAGGTTGTCTTTACCACAGCAAAAAAATCGGGGTGAATGCAATCTCATGTATCTAATGTGAGGCTCCCTATGATTAGTAGGCTCATTGCTCTACTAAATGAGTTTACTGGGCATAAATGGTTAAAATCACAACACAATTTGATAAATATACTTTATATAAAGCATTTTTATATGATATTTTAAATGCACATGGAACTGTTTATAAAAACTATTAACTGATGTCAATTCACTTATACATACCAAAGATTCATAGGTGTCTTTGTTCCGTAATTTGTCATTCAGGTCTAGAAGTTCTTTTTCCTCTTTAACAGGCAAATAATTCCATTTAACTGATGGGGATGGTCCTGCTATGCTCTGATTGCTAACAGAAGGAAACACTAAACCTTTTTCTAAATTGATTAGGCAAGTGTTTAACTTTTTCAAATCATGTTGAATACTGGCAAGCAGCTCTAAACTTTTCTTCTCAAATGCTGCAATAAAAAAATAACCCTGACTTTAATAAAAACCAAATAAATAGATTAACTTTTTTTTTAAAGTCAACACAAAAAACTAAGAAAAAAATAGTATAATTACATTCAAAAATATATTAAAGAGTACAATTAAACATTCAAACAAATAACCCATCAAGGTAATCCTTTACCAGCAAATCGGGTGGCTAAAGTAGCCACAACAGTTGCCAAGCTCTGGTCAGAAGAGGAAAATATCGGTAGAGAACGATTCGAACTAAATGGCTCAATATATCGAACAGTTGTGGGTTGTAAAATATTTTTGCAATTAAAAGATTTCTTCAATCTTGGGTAAACTGATGGATATGTCTCCTCAGTGTCACTTGTATTGCAAACTGCTAACTTTTTAGCTGGTGGCATGGACAATTTTTCATCACTATCAGCAGCTGTTTCAACGCTTGATGTGAACTCTAACATTTCCATTCGTTCTACAGCAGTTTCATAACTGTCTAAAAAATTTAAAGAAAAGATAAATATAGCTGTTCAGATCATTAGCATCTAGCATCTGTGTAACATAAAATTAAACAAGGATAATAACATAATAACGACACTTACCAGAATAATAAAGAACTCTTATTTTTAGCTGTTTCCAGTTACTTTCAGGAGTAAGTGTTGCTTCGCGTATGGCAGTTAAAAGGCGTATGGCAGTTAAACTAAACTTTCATTGATCAGCCATGACAAACAGATAACGCCCATGGCACACATGCTTTTTTTTTTTTTTTCATCAAGAAATTCAACCACAGCAAATTTTTTAAACTTTGCTGCTATCTTCAATTTTACTGTACAACATGTGTATTAAAAAAAACATAAACAAATTTGAAAAAATAAAAAAAATTAACAAGCGTAAAAAAAAAAAAAAAGTTTTTAGTTTAGTGGTTCCACACTTGTGTGTAGTGAATGACTGGGGCCCCAGCCCCGGCCAAATTTGGGTCTTTTTACAACCCCAGCCACAACTAAATAATAGTTCTAGCAGGAGTTATAAGATGGGGCTAGGATTTTTTTTTTATGCTATTTTATTTTTTAGGCTATAAAAGTTAAATAATATATCTGTTATGAAAGGTAAAAAATGTAAGAAAATCACAAATATATATAGATTCAGGATCCCATACATTGTAATAGTTTAAATTAGGTGGTACAAAGTCTTCAGGAGCCCCACATAAAGATGTAGTATATGAAAGTGCTCTTAAATTGTATTTTAAAAAAAGAAGTGTTTCAAGATTTTTTGTTTTGAGTCTAATACGTTCTTGTTGTATTGATTTCAAAACTTTAAACTCACATTCACTTGTACTTGGGCTCGGAAGTGAATTTATATTTTTTTATATTTATATTTAATTATAAATATAAAATAATATAAAATTTAATAATAAATAACATTTTAGAAAGAATTTAAAATCAAAAGTTGTTTATTTAAAATAAAAATAATTAATCTAATATAAAAAAGAATAGCCTTTATAAAACTATTACAGTTTTAAATTTTGTTATAACTTTTGTATTACTTTTACATGATTATTTAATATTATCATTTTTATTACTATTATTATAACTATTTTATATTATTATTGTTATTATTGTTATTATTTCAATCAGCCAAATAATCATAAGAATTTTTATATAAACATATTATAATTAATGACTCATCACTGAAGTTTATTGCAGTTTCGCAGTTAAGTAATTCATTCATATTTTCAGCATTACTTATTGAGTAAATTTCACTTAAATGTTGCTTCACTAATCTTTTAATATAATGCGATTTAGCAGATCAAGTTGAAGTTATTGATTTTTTCATTACCTATAACATTGTATTACACTTATACAATTGTATAACACTTTACCATAAAATAAAATGCTATATAAATTAAAAGAATACATACAACACACACACACACACATATATATTTTTACATAATATTTTGGCTTATATAGTGAGAGCCATTAGCAAAATAATAAAACCGTTTAAACAGTTTTGACTTTTATTAGTTTGATAATGGCTCACACTTAATGAGCCAAAATATTATGTAAAAAAAGAAATAAATATGATACTGTATATAATGTTTTAATGGTTATAATATTATTATACATACTATTAAAGATGTCACTTTATATATATATATATATATATATATATATATATATATATATATATATATATATATATATATATATATATATATATATATATATATATATATATATATATATATATATATATACCACAAGGCTGACATTATTAGGTGTCAAGTAGGTGTCAGCATTTTTACAGTATGTTATAATATTGTAATTGCTATTCATAAATTTAAAACCTTAAAGCACTTAGAAAGTAAATAAAATAGATAGGAAATAAAAAATAGATAAACCTAAATCTAGATTTAATAACTTATTTAAAATTTATTCATTTGCAAACTTATTAAATGGTAAATCATATGACGTATTTGTTACTTAATTGAATATCTTTAACAAAATAAATATATATACAAATCTTGCAGATGCAATTAACTCAAATTGTTTTTATATAAAAGTAAACTTACTATTTCAGCCTTTATCTTATAGTACAGAAATATTTTCCACCTCTTCTTGTGATACAATCTGTTTCTAAATGAACTACAACCACTTTTTCTCGTGATTTAATCTGTAAATGTTGTATTAGAAGTACTGTGAACATCAAAGGAACAAATCGACAATTTTTAAAATTCACACAAAAATCTTTTAGCGTTCAAAAACCATAAAAAGTTTGAACCCCCCTCAATTTGAGAGGGTAGCAAATTTTATAAAGCCATAATTATTGAACGGTAATAGACAATTGCATGAGTTTTAAAATTGATCAATGAATATATACTTGGTTTAGAATAGTATGAAAATTATTTTATCAACTTGCTGCTCTTACGTTTGGGGCAGGTGTAGCTAAAATTTTAGGGCTTTTTTTTTCTCAGGCTCCAATCATTGCAATTTTTTGCGAAGCATCTTTATTTGATATAAGTATAAACATATAAATTTTTGAAGTTTGTTTCATGTTTTATGTCTGAAAGTTAGGTATCTCAAACATCAAAAAATGCTGCATCCGCGCCTGCATCTATATAATTATTACTGCATTATATAATGCATTTTAAATAAAATAGTAATAAATAATGCATTATATCATTACTAAAGTGGCAGACGGTTTTGTTAACCAACTATAAACAAAACTTGTTAATGTATACCGATATATATAGATTTCTATTTTTAAACCATTCACTTTTATCAATTTTTTGCTTGTGGATTTATCTTTTTTTTAATTTTGTTATTTTAGGTATTATCTCAAACAACCATGTTATTAGCTACAAAACTACGATTTGTAGCTACCAAAATTGTTTAACAATCGCTAACTAAAAACCTGCAATATTTATATATCGCTATAGCATCGGTGACTATAGTCACATAGCAGCTATAAAATTGCTGTATAGTTGTATAGTCACAAGCAGCTATAAAATTGTCGTTATGTAGTTGCCACAATAGAGAATTTTTTTAAACAGTTATAACAACTTTAAAAAGTTATCAATAAATTCGAAATTTCACATAAATTTTAAGTTATATCTGTATCTAGAAGTAATCACCGAATTATTCAATACTTAATAATTTGGATGCTGTTAAAAATAACCATACATCCGTCACTGGATGGTTTTGATGGTGATAAAAAAGTTTATATAATATATTTTTGATACCGAGAAAACAATGTTTTAAAAATTGATATAAAGAAAATAAATACTTATATACCTAATAGTTTTAATTTAAAAAATTTACACATGTTTCTTGTATGTATATGTTACATTTATTTATTTTTAGCGACCTGCAGAAGCGCCGTCCAATTTATACGGTAAAAAGGTAGCTACTGAACAAATTAATTTTAATCAATCACAAAATCCTAATGAGGTTCTACAATCTATACAAAACAACCGTCAACAGCATCCCCCTGTTCAGTTGGTTGCACCAGTTAGACAAATGCCTCCACCAATGCACCTTCAACAAATTAGACCTAATGAACAAATGAGTAATTTTATAATTGTTGAAAGAGGAAATTTTCCGAACAGTATACCTAATCCTATTTTAAAAAATAGTCAGGGAGTAAATACCCAAGTTGTAGCTGTTAATCAAGGACCGCGAATGACGCCAATAACGCCAGATAACAGAGTACATAGACTAAATAGTAGCGCTCAAACAGGAGGAAACCTTGTTGCTGGAAATATCGATGGAAGTCATTTTCAACTATTACAACCACCTTGGCATCCACCACAGCAACATTTATGTGCACCTCTGAGATACCCACCTTCTTACCTAATTAGACAACCGCTTACAATGCTACTACCACATCTTAAAGCGAATATTTCTGCAAATGGAAGCAGTATTGTACTTACTTGGGATTATGATTATGATGTATGTGGTGACAACTATGACAAATACAAAGTTAAAAGCTATAACTTATACGCTTACCAATCTAAGGAAACATATGTTTCATTAAAACCAAACTCTGAATGGAAAAAGATAGGAGTTGTGGCAGCCTTAGCCCTTCCTATGGCTTGTACTCTTTCTCAGATAGCAAAAGGACATGATTATCATTTTGCAGTTGTTGCTGTAGATGCACACGATAGGGAAGGTCCAATGAGCAATCCATGTTATATAAGATTAAATATGAATGAATAATGAGTTTTTGATTTTAAATATCCTAATGTTGCGTTGTTAACATCTTTTTTCTTATATATTATTTTTATGAATCATTATATCTTATAAAAAAAAATTGTGAATATTTATTAATTCGTATATTTTTTTTAATTATAATTTATTGTTCCTCATTTAAAATTTGATGGTTTAAAAAAACGCTAGACCGTTTATAATATTTATGAGTTAATATATTGTTTTTATGCAAAAACAACGTGTGATGTGTAATATATTAATCAATAAGTTTTTAGGAGCCCCAAAAATAAAATTCTAGCAAAATTTGAATTACAATCGACATTCAAAAATTGTCTCCTGCAAGAAATCGACATTCATACAAGTACTTTTCAGAAACAGACTTCAGTATAAACGTTTCAAGTAACACTAACAACTGAAAACCTTTTTAACAAGTTCGTCTAATTTTTTGACAATCAGATTTCAATAATATTTTAAGGTAGAATTAGTTGAAAATACCTCTAGATCTGGTATAGCATAGGCCACAACGTGCAATAAAACTGCGTGGGTCGAGGTAAAATACTTACCATGAATTCAAATGTTTTTGAGGTTTCAGAAAAACTTTCGTTGCCCCAATTTTGAAGCTAAAAATTTTGGTCGCAAATTTTCTTCAAATACTGAAAAAATTTCAATATAAAAAAATCTAATTACTCAGCGTAGTTAAGGCGAATCAGTAAAATTTAAATCGAAAATTCTAATAAAAAGCTTAATTTTGTCAATCTATAACTTAAATTTTAAGTGAGATGAAATAAATTTAAAATTACTATTTTTCAGGAAAATTATATCTGCTTGTGTTAAAAAAAAAAAATCTTTATACAGAACTTAAGATTTTTTTAAAGTGTATATTTGAAGTATTTTGCGGTTTTGCTTGGTCAGTTTGCATTAAATTTACTTAATTGAAATTAAAAAGTATCCTTAATTTAATAAAAAAAATTAATCCTTAATTTTGGATTATAGATCAAAAGAGCTAGAACATTTATAAAGTGTTTAAAACTGATAATTTTTTAAAAAATATTTTCACTCAAAATTACAAATGTTCTCCACTTATTAAGTAAAAGTACTCCAAAAAATGAAGTGTTTGTAGTTGTAGCTTTTTCTTTTATTTCTTCAATAAATTTTCTATTGTTTAAATGTCTTTGCAATAGTTAAAATAATTCCAGCACCAAGCAAGGTTTAAAAGTAGGGTCCAAGAACATAAGATTTCACAGGTCTAAATTTAAAAGTAGGGTCCAAGAACATAAGAATTCACAGGTCTGGAAATTATAGCTAATGCTAACATTTTAAATATACCGGAATTTTAACTTCAGTCGAGCGAAAAATAAGTTGATTGTTAAACTTTATTTTATAAAGCTTTTATATACTTAAACCATATTAAGACCTTTACAATGGTATCAATAATATATCCTCTGACTTGTGAATTTGAAAAAATAGCTGTATATAATGCTCTCAATATAAAAATAGATAAAGGATTTGATGAAGGTCTTAAAGTGTATACTTCAAGAAAATATAAATATCAGTATATCCAGTTCCAAAACCAATTTCAAATTGAAAACGACAATAAATTTGTAGTACTATATGGCTTATTTGTTTCAAAGTACAAACAAATTATTAAGAATCTGCATTTTTTAGGGAAAAAAAGTTCATCAATAAAAACTGAGATTATGCAAGAATTTTCATTTGAAAGATGGTGCTTAACAAAAGAGCAAAAAACGAACCATGGGATAAAAGATTGCTTTGGATGTCAAAATGACATTAAGTTTAAGTATTTGCTATCAAAATTCCCGAATCGATGCAAATCTTATCAATCTGTTGCATCCAAAAATGGTTTAAAACAAAAAGAACTTATGTTAAATGACATAACAAACACAATAATAACAAAACTTGATAAAGAATACCAAAAAGAATTTCAAACAACTTTTACAAAAACTTGTTCCCGTATACTAAATTTAAAAAACAAGTCTACAGATGAAATGCGCAAGCAAAAAAAGCAAAAAAATCAATGGAAAGAAACATCAGTTGTAAGGTAAATATGAATGTTTCTTAAATTCAAAAGCAATTATAAATATTTATTAAAAAAAAAAATTCTTAACATTTAGAACATATGGGAATAATATTTCCCTTCGGACTAGAAATAAGCATCGTCTAACTGCAAGTATGGAACCATTCAAGCAAGCAGAACAGCGATCTTATGAATTCAAAGAAAAAGTAGATAAAGTAAACTATTTATATATTTATAATTGTTTACAGGTGTATAGGTGCATTGGGCTGTAAAGTGCAATGTTTGTGTGTGTTTGTGTGTTTAAGCGAGAGATATATACAAATATTTTATTCCTATATTTAAAGTTCTTTGTTTGATGATTCAAGTTTTTAAAAACCTTGTGTTTACTTCAATTTAAAATTTTTATGATTAAAGTACACAAAATTATATATAAAAGTTAACAAAAGCATTTTTGTAATTATAGGGTGTAATAAAACCTAAAAAACATGTTGGATCACCACATACATACAAAGACGAACTGAATTTATGTCTTGAGGAGGTAAATCTTTATAAAAGTGGAGAAAAGATTAACTACTTTAGTCTTGCAAGAAAATACAATATAATTGATAGTGCAAGTAAAATACCACGCAATGGTGGGCAGATTGTCAAAGAATTTCTCAAGGAAAATGGTGTCAATATATCAAGTTTATCTGAGATGAAAAGAAGTATTGGAGAGAAAAATGTTGTTATTCAAAGAAAAAAACGAAAGTAAATTTATTTAGAATTATTTCTTCGTTATTTTAAAAATTCATAGCTTTAATTTTATTATTTATTTTTATATTTGTGTGTTTTTTATTTATAAATATTTTAATATTTTATTATAAATATTTTAATATCTTTCCATCGGTAACCACATGCGTCTAGCGAAATACATTAATAATACATTAATATTAATGTATTTGTATACATTCGTATACAAATACATTAAGGCCAGCCTTAATGCATTTGTATACGAATATACATAGTATATTTTTTTCTGGATTGTAATGTTGTTAAACAAAATTTATTATTTTCATAGCCTTAATAAGTCTTTCAAAGATTTGATTAATAGGTAAAAAAAAAGTGTGAAGTAAATTACAATTAATATTTTTTAGCTCATTAAAAAAAAAAAAAAAAAACTCACTAATACACATTTTTTTAACCAATTTATCAAGGCTTTATCAGGGTTAGGGTTAGAGTTAGGGTTAATAAGGATGTATAGTATCCAACGAGTTGAATAGTAATTTTAGTGAAATTCCCTTAATAGAACCATCAATTTCAAGTTATATAAAGTTGTTCAACCAAAGTCTAATACAACTATATCATTTGAAATAATAAGAAATTATCCAAATGAATATCAGGCAATGCTACAAAAAATAGCTGATTTTCTTATTGAACCAAATGTTTATTGGTGTGAGACAAAATATAATGTCGAATTTTATGATTTAACAAAAGTGACAACAAGTAAAAAGACTCCTCATCATTTTAGAACAAAAACAATAATCGAAGAACTTAATTACGTTAAAAGTTGCTGGGAAGAAATATGCTTGCCAAATGCCAATAAATTAATACCTGCATATAAGATAAAAATTGAAGATAAAATTACCAACATGACAAAATTATTATTTTTGAAAACATTGAAAAACTGCTCCATATGAAGTATTAAAATACAAAACAATTTTTAAAATAATTTTGTTTGTAAGTCTTATATCTAAGTAACATTTACTAAAATGTTTTATGATCAGAATTTACTTTTCTGAATCTAATTGCTTGAATAAAAATTGACTATTGTGTGATTTCATTCTTACAAATCCTTAAATATGAAAAGCGCTCCTCCCTCCCCGCCCCCTCCTACTTACTATTTGATCTGGATCCTCCTTCCTAACACCTCCTCCCCCTCCCAATTGGTCTTAGCAGGTATAATCATGACCATTAAATATTGAAATTAAAACAGGAAATAAATACTTTTTCAAATATTAAAAAAAAAAAGTAAGTAATTACATTTATAATAAATTTTAATAAGACTATTGCGCAAACAAAAAAGTGTATTTGCTAATGTTTCATTTTTTTTTTTTTTTATTTTTTTTTTTTTTTTCTGATGTTTTATTGCAGACCAGATATTTTCCGGAAATATCGCGATTGTTTAAACTAATAACCGACTGACGGCAATTTTTTAAAAAGCACCTTAACTTCGCTGAGTAAGGTCTTTTATAGTAAATGTTCCGAACTCACTCCTGCGCTTATCATGTTCATCTGGATAAGCTCTGTCATTGACGGCGCTAGTATTATACACTGTCAGTTCTGCGCTTATCTTGTGCATCTGGATAAACTCTGTCAATGACGGCGCCAGCTTATACACTGTCAAGGGTATTTTCTTAGTTTAACCGTTAAATCCCTGACACAGTCAGTTCTAAATAAAGTGCGATCATTTTAACAAAGAATTAAGGTAAGAATCTTAAAAACAGCAGTTTTTAATTAATTTGGATTCTTTTAATTTAACAGACAAATCAAAAATTTATGTATCTTACCTTTCATCACAATGCAGCCATGGAAAATCCTTGAACCAATTTTGCAAGCATGAATGATCTTGACCTCCAATTTTTGTTTTAAGGATAACATAATGCTTGGGCGGATGAAAAAGTTGATTTTGGTGTGAATAATTGTTGAATTTCATTAAAAAAAGAATGCTTTTCAGGTAGTTCACAAATAGTTGCTTCACTAGACGCATTTATATGTGGGGGCTTTTCAGATATTTAAGTAATTGTTTTTTCGCTAGACGCATGTGGTTACCGATGGAAAGAAATATGCGATTGTCTTATTAGCGTTGTTTAAATTATTGAATAGAAAGAAGGTATTTCTCAAAAACTTATTTTATTTAGATCATTGGCGTATGAGAGATATAATCCTATAATATAAAATATATAATCTTATACGTTCATGTTTAAATCAAATGTTTATAATACAGTAAATTGGCTTCAAATAGTTTTATCTTTTGAAACTTATTTGCACGGACTTCAAAATGAATTTGGGTACTAGTTAAGCTTTATGAATTTTAGGTACTAGCTAAGCTCGTTGATGCTTCAACATTTTACGCTTGCTCAGTTGAAGTAAAAAATAAAACGAAGTATTGAATATAAAATAGTATAATACATACATTAAAAGTATTAATAATATTTAATGTTACTATAACAGTACTAATAAATTATTTAATTAATTAAAAAAAAAATATTATCATTTTAAGTAGATAAAATAACTCACCCACCGCTGACGATTCAGGAAAGTAATGTTATTACCCAATGGCGTAAAAGAACGAAAGTTTACTTGCATTACCACTAAAACTAATGAATACAGTCGATTTGTTTTATGTATATTGCCAAAAATAGATAAAAGTGTTTTTTATTTATTAGTTTTCAATTTTTTTATAAACAAAAAATCAGCATTACTTTGCAAATTTTTGGGGAGGAGGGGGATATGCATGACCACCTCAAGCCGTTGCTGTGGCCCATGATTAGGTTACTATAATATTAGACATTATGTTGGGCTTTATATATTTTTTCATTTGCAGATGATTTTGTTTTAAGGTATTTAATATAAAGCTTCTGTTTTATTTTTGATAACTTTTTTAAATCCTCTGTTTACTTATAGCTCATTCAACGCCAAACGGTCTAATTTCCGGAATCAAACCCACTCGACCATCTTCGATTTTGATAAAAGTTTGTCAGCATGTTGTTGAACATCTTTCATGAACATTACCAAATTTTTAGATCAAATGTTTATCATTTCGGGTTTTATGGTACTTTTTGTATGGCTAACCTGTAAGGCTAACTGTAAAGCTAACTTTTTGTAAGATGGTTTCTTAGTAAACCGAAGGTGGAGATTACAAAAAAATTATTACTAGTTTTATACTATGCTTACATTTTAGCCTATGGTTCACCAAAAACCGTCACAAATTCAATACTGTAAATTTTTTCTGTTTTTTTGTATAGTCATATCTCCAGAACAAAAAGTTTTTTAGTATTGTTATTATGTCTTAAGGTTCTACATGCTATCATAATGATATGGATAAAAATCAGCTATTTTAAAATTGTCTTTTCTGAGTTATTTTGAAAGCAATATGGCGAAAAAAGTGAAATACCCTAGAATAAAGTGGGCAAACTCAATGTGGGCAGATTTTTTTTTTTACTTTTTTAGTTTCATCGTTGGAAAGGGCTCATATTACGCTTCTGGAAACAATAAAAATTATTTTGGAGAGATTTATCCTATGAACTAAAAAGACCTAGTTTTTATGAGCTAAGTTAGGTCTACAAAGTCTTTGATATTTTAAAAACGATATTAAGGTCCGTAAATTAACTATTGCCATGTAGAGCTAATTTTAGTAAGTATATTTTTATTGACAAATCTCTCTAAATTATTTTCAAATATTTAAGTTTATCACAAACATCTAATATGAGAAGACGAAAATTAGAATCGAAGAATAAGACTTATTTTAATTTATCCTGAAATGTCTGTTGAACAAAACTTAAGTACTTATTGAAAATTTGACGAAAGTTTATGTCATTCAAGTACTTATTCACTTTTGCTCAGAACTTTCGAACGAGGAACAGAGTTTGATTGTCAGGCAAACTTATAATTTAACTAAAAACATTACTTTAATTTATTTACACCACAAATCACTGCTGTTGGTTAAATACACGTATTTGCAGCGTATTGTTTAAGGTGGTATCCAGCCATTATTTTTGTAAAAAATGAAAAAAAAAATGAAAATTTGAAAAATTTTTTTTTAGATAATTGAACCTTGTAGAATTCAATAGAAAAAAATTTCTTTTCCAAAATAATTTTAAAATATCAATAATATTCTTTTCAAACATATGATTTATGTGAGTAGTCTACATGATTTATAATTTTAAAACTGACTTTTCTCAATTTTTATTTTTTTTATGTGTAGCTGTCGGAAAACAATGATATCTCAATAAAAAAAATGATTTTAGCCTCAAATTTTCAGGATATGCTTGTTATCAATGTTTTTAGAGTCTGAATCTAAAATAAAATTTAAAAAAGTTAAACTTAACCTACAATTACCAAATAAGTGTTTTATCGCTAAAAATAGTTTTTTATACAATTAAGCCTGCCATTTTTGATCGTTTTAAATTTTTTTTTAAAATTTTGGTTCAAGCACAAGCTACACAATATACTAGCATTTTTCAAAATTTCAACCTTTAATTCTGATGTATTCTTAAGTTATTTATGTTCTTGGGACGTTAACTTTTCCACCTTTTTTGCTGAGTCAGCAAATATTTTTTTTTCAAATTAAAAAAAATATTTGTAATACGTTTTACATCATTATCTATTATGCTAGTAATTCATAAAAGGTATTTATTATGTGTAAAATATAAGAAAATAGAAATAATGGCTGGGTACCACTTTAAACTCTTTGGGATCGTCCATAAATTACGTCACGCATTTTTTGACAGATTTTGACCTCTCCCCCTTCCCCTCGTCACAAAATCGTAACACTTAAGAAGCAAGTTTTGTATGAGTCGTCACAAAATTACTAACCCCCTCCTTCCCCTTATAGCGTGACGTAATTTATGGACGACCCCTTTTGGTATGGCCAATCCTTGTTTTTGCAATTACCAGTAGACGACTTCATAGATGAATTAATTTCAAAAGTATCTGCTTTATTTAAGTACCATTTTATTGCCAATAACCAAAACAAATATTTGCGGTTA